TGGGCCCCCGAGCACATCCGCGGCTGAGCCGCTGCAGATCCCGTTAGCCATGGCAGCTCAGCACAGCCTTAATGCCCACTGGCAACAGGCTGTAATCCTCCTGCCCTGAGCCATGTGTCTGGCACGGCCACCAGTGCCCCCCAGCCATGCCAGGCACTGGGAGTCCCAGGGGGCCAGTGTGGGCACGGCTGTGACCTCTGCTTTGTCCCCACAGGAGCAGGGGAGTCGGGGAAAAGCACTATTGTCAAGCAGATGAAGTAAGTACTGGGGGGTGCCACTTGGCCATACCCCACCATGCCGTGTGCCCACACCCCCTACAGCCATGGGGTGCCCCCTTCCCAACTGCCTGGCTCCAACCTGTGCCACAGCCATGGGGTGCATCCACCCCTTAGTGCCTGGCTCAACCCCATGGCGCCTAGCTCAGCACCTTGCCCCCCTCCCTGGACAGGATCATCCACCAGGACGGTTACTCTCTGGAGGAATGCCTGGAGTTCATCGCCATCATCTACAGCAACACGCTCCAGTCCATGCTGGCCATCGTGCGGGCCATGAGCACCCTCAACATCCAGTACGGGGACTCTGCTCGCCAGGTGAGGAGCACCCCACACTGGGCTGGCGGTTCCCCCAGCCCCCCAGCCCCGCTGAGCCTCTCTCCTGTGTAGGACGACGCCCGCAAGCTGCTGCACCTCTCGGACACCATCGAGGAGGGCACCATGCCCAAGGAGATGTCAGACATCATTGGGCGGCTCTGGAAGGACGCGGGCATCCAGGCCTGCTTTGACCGTGCCTCCGAGTACCAGCTCAACGACTCGGCTGGCTAGTACGTGGGGTGGGGGAGTCTCGGGTGTGGAGGTCTGGGGGTGCCAACCTGTGTCTCATGGTCACCATGTGCCCGACCAGCTATCTGTCAGACCTGGAGCGCCTGGTGACCCCCGGCTACGTCCCCACGGAGCAGGACGTGCTGCGCTCCCGTGTCAAGACCACCGGCATCATCGAGACCCAGTTCTCCTTCAAAGACCTCAACTTCAGGTCGGGGACGGGCCCCTGGTGAGGGCTGATGCCAGGGGGGTTGGCGGGGGGGTAGAGGCGCTGAAACACCACCCGAGGCGCCCCCCCCCCCCCCCGCCTTGTCCTTTCCAGGATGTTTGATGTGGGTGGCCAGCGCTCGGAGCGGAAGAAGTGGATCCACTGCTTTGAGGGGGTGACCTGCATCATCTTCATCGCGGCCCTCAGCGCCTATGACATGGTCCTGGTGGAGGATGATGAAGTGGTAAGGAAGGCTCGCTGCCCCATATTGTCCCCATGCCCCACTTTGTCCACATCACAATGTGAGGGGGGGGTCACGATGGGGCTGACGGGGCCATCTCTCTGTAGAACCGCATGCACGAGAGCCTGCACCTCTTCAACAGCATCTGCAACCACCGCTACTTTGCCACCACCTCCATCGTCCTCTTCCTCAACAAGAAGGACGTCTTCCTGGAGAAGATCAAGAAGGCTCACCTCAGCATCTGCTTCCCCGACTACGATGGTGAGGGTGGCAGGGGCTGTCCCGGTGGGTGGCGGTGAGGGGTTGGGTGGCAGCCCCCCACCAGATGTCCTCAGCAACCCGTACAAGCAGTGCTGCAGGGGCTCATGGGCCAGGCAAGGTTTGCCCACCCGGGGGAGCGCTGGGCAATGCTAGACTGTCACCCATGGCGGGGGTGGGGACACCAGCCCAGAAGGGCATCCCGCTCACTGCCATGCCAACAGGTCCCAACACCTACGATGACGCGGGCAACTACATCAAGCTGCAGTTCCTGGAGCTGAACATGCGGCGGGATGTGAAGGAGATCTACTCCCACATGACCTGCGCCACCGATACCGAGAACGTCAAATTCGTCTTCGATGCTGTCACTGACATCATCATCAAGGAGAACCTCAAGGACTGTGGGCTTTTCTGAGAGCCCCAGCCCCAGCACCCCCTCCCTAGGCTGGGCCCCACCTCCCCTGGGGCCCCACTACTGCCCCCACATCACCTCTGCAACCATCTCCACTCGCCCCAAAACCCTGAGAGTTGACCTGCTCAGCCCCAAAGCCTCTCCTGGGTCGGGAGCTCGGTCCCGCTCCGAGCCCCCCCCCCAGCCAGCGCTGCGGGGTGTCCGGTGGGGACACCCGGTGGCCCTGGGGGCTCCTTGGAGCTGAGGAGTGCTGGGGTTCCCTTAGGGTGCTGCAGGTCTCTGAGTGTCCTGTGGAGCTAGGGGGGTCAGGGGGAGTCCTCGGGGAGCTGGGGGATCCTGGGAGTCCCTGAGTGCCCCTTGGAGCTGAAGCATGCTGGTTGTCCTTGGGTTCCCTTTGGAGGTGGGGGCCCTAGGGTTCCCTGGGTACCCCTTGGAGCTGAAGGGTCCTGGGGG